CTTGAGTAGCTCTTAAGCCGTATATTGGTTGAACATTAAAGAAAATCTTTTCGGCACTGATTATCCACCAGAGTTGATATCTCGTCAAATCAAATCATTCAATCAATCGAAATATGAAACTGCTCATGTCTAGTTCATATTCTCGACCTTACAAGAGATGATAAAATAAATAGAAGATGTTAGAAAGAAACACGAAAACTTCATATATAATTGGTCCTCTCCGCCAAGACTAAAATCGAGCTAGCAATATTATACATCGGAGGGTACGTAATATTGTTTTACATCTAAAGGTCCATAATATTGTTATACATCGGAGGGTACGTAATATTCTTATATATCTGAGGGTACGTAATTTTGTTATACCTCTGATGGGACGTAGTTTATTGGATAACAGAAGAAAATTTTAAAAACGTCTCTATTAACCAGCGTGTCCATACACCACTTTAGCAAAACAAACGCAGAAGAAAATTCTTGCATATTTTGCCTCAACTTTTAATTGCATCAGAGCGAAAATATTTTCATTTGTATTGATCGTTACCAAAATTCAGAATTATGAACAACGTTTATTCAGGTCGACAAGCTTTTTAATTATTACAAAATAAAAACGTTTTTTATTGACTGGGAATGGGAAATATCTTTACGGTGAATTTTAATGACTCTGATTGATGGATCAATTTTAATTTCATATTTGCATCCGTTTCAATCGCTTTCTTGGAGATGCGATCATTTTTTCTCCAAATACCCTAACAGATTGAACAGTTTCGATGTTTATTCATACTTGTAGGTATATCACGAAGAAATATAGTTCGTTTTATTATATTTAATTCAGCAATACATGTTCATACTGGGATCTTCTGTTTTTATGGGTCGTCATCGATTTACACTGTATTTTTCCGGTTGCATGCGAATTCATAGTTTCTGAAGAGAAAAAGAAAAGAAACTATTTTTTTATATATTTGAAACGATTAAATAACTAATATAAAAGATTCATTGTAAGAAGAAGTCAAAATAACAAATAAAGGTAAATGACATAAATCATTTTGAAACTATTGAATTAAATTAAAATTTAGTAAATAGACAAGTAAAAGTTCCATTCCTATTGGTTTCTAAACGCCATTTGTCGATCTAGAACATTCAGATTCTTTTGATGCACACACACACATACATATATATATATGTGTGTGTGTGTGTGTGTATGCTTGTGTGTGTGCGTTTCATTTAAGTAGATTGATGCAGAGAAGTATGTAGCATATTCATCTTTTTGCTGTCAACTTTTTTCTCCAAACTATCCTACTGACGTTTTAACAACTGATGCCAACATGGCAAGGATAAAAGTTTTTAACCGTCCACCAATCTATTTTTTTTCTCGCTTTCGTTCATTCGATTCAAATAATCATATAGTTTTTGCAAGAAATGTGAACAAATTGCTTTTATTTTCTTTCCCTGACTACGCAAAGGTTTAAGATCAGAAAGCTATTTTTCTCAGCCTGACAATGACAAATGACGTTACAAATGCGAACAATAAAAGAGAAAGATGCTGAAAAAAAAAGAAGAAAGAAAGAAAAAAAGAAAAGTAAAAAAGGAAGCATTAAAGAAGGAGAATTTGGGAAAAAAAGTGACTGTGTCAGTTACTTGTGCGAAACAAGCGAAGCATTTTTGATAGGGTGTACTGTCTGGCTTAAATGAATGCTGCCGTAACATACAGGACTAAATTACCATTTAGATGTAGGCACTTCCTCGTTATTAAGTGTCAAGCAATAGATATTTCTTCTTTATATCTCCCTCTATCAACTTTGAACTCAATTGCAACGATATATATATATATATATATATATATATATATATATATATATATATATATATATATATATATATATATATGTATGTATGTGTGTGTGTGTGTGTGTGTGTGTGTAAACAAAATAAGGATGCAATATATACTGATATTATAGTTAAAATATATTTATACAGAGCCAATAAATATGAAAATATGCCCAAATATTGTTACCTTACGGCGACGTCATATGTTTACCATAGATGTGTATAAGTATATGTACAAGCTATATTTCTAAACAGACAAACTCACACACACACATCTATCTATCTATCTATCTATCTATCTATCTATCTATCTATCTATGTGTATATATGTACATATGTTTCTGTATGTGTATTTCTGTGTGTAATAGCCTGCATGTCGTGCAGACTTATGTCGTCCAAACCAATAACTGAGCAGTTATAAAACTATATAATATAGATTCGTGCTTGCTTTGAATATTGCTGCCACATATGGTCTGGTGCTCTTGCTATATATTTAGAGATGTTTGATAAAAGACTCTGCACTATTATTGGTTTTGATCTGGCATATCGCCTACAATCACTTTTCCCACCGCCATAATTTAGTTTCCCTGTATCTTTTCTATAAATATTTTCATGGTAATAGTTCTGATGAACATTCCTCCATGGTACCTAGCCTTTACGAATTTAAGCTTAGTAGATGAAATGGCTAGATATAACCGTAAGTTTTATGTTAACAGTCTCTTCTATCGCGCGTTTTCCCTTCCTACCCATTCAAAAATTTAAATGCAATATCAATTTTAATCTTCTGTCTTCTTAATTGTTGTTTTTTTTTTATTGTTTTCTTTCCTTAATAGTGTTTTTTTTTTCCTCAAATTCTCTAACGCTCACTAACCCCTTGTGTCTTAGTGGCTTTATTGTCTTGCTTGGGGTGAAATAATTAAAAATGAAATAATTAATAATGAAAATATAGTGTGCATGGTCGACAGTAAGAGGATGCGCCCGAAATGCAATCTGAAGGTCGGGAACACGAGAATCAAGCAGACGTGGAAATTTAAATACCTGGAAAGCGTCTTGACAGAGGACGGTAAATGCGACACATATGTAGGGATGTATTGGGATGGCCAAAACACACTCCCAAAGTTGGGCAGAGTACTGCGAGACAGGAGGATATCTTTGGTAACAAATATAAGAATACTGAACTGTTACGTGACATCTGTCCTTCTTTACGGCAGCGAATGTTGGACGATTTTCTCAAGGATGTTAAGGATATCATGAACCGAGTGGATGATAGAACGTGGCTTGGGGGAAGAAGCAGAGGGAAGAAACTTGCTGAGAGCTGCAAGGGATCGGGGGAGGTGGAGAGCCATGATCTTCTACTTCATGAAATGACATGGGGCATAAAAAGAAAAGAAGACATGATTGGTGGTTTCCTGTAGATTAAATAAAGAGTTGAATACATAACCGGGTCAAAAATCAGTTAATGATAAATATATGGCATAATGGCCGAAACGTTTGAGAAAAACAACACATTTGTGTTGTATTAATTTGATGCTTGTTTCACTATGCACTTCATTAAATGGGAATTAATTTTATGAAGTGCATAATAAAAAAAAGGAGATTCTTAACGAAATATACATGTATTGCATTTCCTGATTTTCATAACTTATTTTATGGGATAAACCCCCACTATTTTCCCCACAAGAAATGACTTTAAAATATCACCTGGATCTTATACGGAATATGGAGGTAGCTGGTAAGTTATGGATTTTTTTTATCCACTCGTCACAGCCGACGTATAATCGCATCTATCTTAACTCTAATTTTGATTTTTAAGGCCACCACATTTCAGGGGCACGGTGGAGTAATGGATAGCAGTTCGGATTGAGGAATCGGTAGAGCCGAGTTCGAATTCCAGTCGAATCCGTTACATTCACTTACATGCTAATACCCTTGAGAAAAGGTATGAATCCTCTTCTTTCCCCCCAGGTATTGGTAAATAGCAGGACAGACCAGGTTCTATAGCCTTGGATGGCAACTGGTCTACCACAGAAAGAAATGCTGTAAAAATCTGCCTCGTCAGTCACGTATCGAAAGATACATGATCGCCTAGGCGTCTGTCACGCATGACAAATTACTGACTGACATTTCAGGATGTGGACGATAACGGCTCTTTTCAAATGGCGTTTTCCTATGTGTGAATTGCCATTATATTTTGGGGAAAAGTAGGTTTGATTTCATTGTTCTATGAGTCGGAAACCCAGTATACAGCTGCTTAAACCATGATGGTTGGTTGGTAGGGAGATGTATTCATGCCTTTTCCAGAGGATGACACTTGAACTTGGCCCATGCGGACTTTCCGTGCTGATAACCGGTACAGTACTTGCCCATCTAACTCAATAAAGCTGTAATAGTATATGTAAATAAGGATTTATTATATTCGATCAAATACAGTAACTTTTAAGATATACGTTTGTAACGATGTGATGGTTATTAGAGCTATATAAATGTTTTTTTTTGCGCGTGCGCGTGGGAAGTTTTAACTGGACATTGTTAAAATCATGACCTTAGTTCTGATTTATTGTTCGTCAATGTCATAGAATTTTATTTTTTTTATCTCGTTGGAACAATAAATCAAATTTGGAATTAACATAAAAACTATTTTCAAATTGGTTCTATAAAAATATCTTGGAACTACGCTTTTGGAATTGGCATTTGAATTAGACTTGTCATATTGCGACAGTAATGATTTTATGGGCGATGCGAGAGTGGCGTCGGGGAAACAGTCATCGCCTTGATAAATCTATAGAGGATATTCCTTATAGTGGGTGTTGCCCTGTCGACAATTTAGCGACTGGTTTGCATTCGAAATTCTGGCTGATGGGCGTGACAGCTCAAGTGTCACTTGGCTGGGACCCGATAAGAGAAAATAGTAAAATGGGGGCGGGGAGTTTCATGGAATATATATATATATATATATATATATATATATATATATATATATATATATATATATATATGTACACTTACGACAGGATGCTGCTCTTAATGGTATGGTAATGTTAAGCAAGGTAGTTTGGTTGACAGTATCTACAGAGTAGAGTGTTTGACCCTTAATGACTGCCCCATATATGTGTCTTTGTGTTAGAACTAATATCCAGTGAATTATTCAATGTATTTAAAAGAAATAGTCCCGTTCATCA